TCAGTGTACTCGTGGCACCCGTGCTTTTCATCGGGGGAATGTTGCATTTCCTGCCGAGTCTTTTGCTTTCATAGGGAGTGATTATCGTGTGTAGGTTTGGTACCAATCCCTCCAGGACCTTCCAAGTGTATATTATCATGTATATCTCTCGCCTGTGTTCCAGGGTACAGATCAAGGACCTTCAACCGTTCCCAGTAGTTTAGGTGCTCTATCGTACTTATGTGTGCCGTGAAAGTCCTTTGTACACTCTCCAGGTCTGCAATGTCGCCAGCCTTGAAGGTGGCCGTTAGTGTACAGCAGTATTCCAGCCTAGAGAGCACAAGCGATTTAAAGAGAATCATCATGGGCTTGGCGTCCCTAGTTTTGAAGGTTCTCATTATCCATCCTATCATTTTCCTAGCGGATGAGGTAGCTACATTATTGTGGTCTTTGAAGGCGAGATCCTCTGACATTATCACTCACAGGTCCTTCACTTTACGTTTCCGCTCTATTGTATCGTTAGAATTTGTCGTATACCCTGATACATTTTTAATTTCCTCAAATTTTCCATATTTGAGTAGTTGAAATTTCTCCTCGTTGAACTTCATATTGTTTTGAGTGGCCCATTCGAAGATTTGGTTGATGTCCGCTTGGAGTCTCGCAGTGTGTTCGATGGAGGTCACTGCCATGGTGCTCCGGGTGTCATCCGCTAAGGAAGACACGGAGCTATGGCTTACATCTCTGTGTCAGAAATGAGGTTAGATATTTTTCACATATTATTTACATCCCCTTTATTTATTCTTGTTTTCCATTATACACTTCAATTATATTCCCCCTACTTCTACGCTTTTGAAGAGAGAGCACATCCACTGTCTTTAGTCTATCCTCATACGAGAGATTTCTGATACATGAGGTCAATTTTGTCATACTTTTCTTTACTTTTTCCAGTACATTTATGTCTGTGCTGTAATACGATAACCAGAACTGTGCAGCATAATCTACATGAGGCTTAACCAACCATATATAGAGATGAAGAATAACCTGAGGACTTTTCTAATTAATACTTCTTGATATGAAGTCTTTATTGTCTTGGTTTTAAATTGCAGTTAACCAGAACTCATAAATCTTCCTCGGGTTCAGAGTGAACAAAAGCTATATTATTTAGTTTATAAACGTTATGGTTATTTTATTTTCCAAGTCTTAGAACTTTACATCTGTCTATATTAAACTTCATCTGCCACTTCTCCGGCCACTGCATGAATCTATTCAGATCTTCATGTAGCGATCTAGTTAGTGTCTTCGTCATAATCCGACGGACTATTTTGGTGTCATCGGCAAACTTGCTTATGTTGCTGTTTATACCCTCATCAGTGTCACTTATGTATACTGTGAGCAACAAAGGGCCAACACTGACCCCTATGGAAAACCGCTTATGACACATCAAAGACCTGGGAATGATCATGTCAGAGGATCTCACCTTCAAGGACCATAACATTGTATCAATCGCATCTTCTAGAAAAATGACAGGATGGATAATGAGAACCTTCAAAACTAGGGATGCCAAGCCCATGATGACACTCTTCAGGTCACTTGTTCTATCTAGGCTGGAATATTGCTGCACACTAACAGCACCTTTCAAGGCAGGTGAAATTGCTGACCTAGAAAATGTACATAGAACCTTCACGGCGCGCATAACGGAGATAAAACACATCAGTTACTGGGAGCGCTTGAAGTTCCTGAACCTGTACTCCCTGGAACGCAGGTGGGAGAGATACATGATTATATACACCTGGAAAATCCTAGAGGGACTAGTACCGAACTTGCACACAAAAATCACTCACAACGAAAGCAAAAGACTCGGCAGACGATGCAACATCCCCCCAATGAAACGCAGGGGTGTCACTAGCACGTTAAGAGACAACACAGTAAGTGTCAGTGGCCCAAGACTGTTCAACTGCCTCCCAGCATACATAAGGGGGGATTACCAATAGACCCCTGGCTGTCTTCAAGCAGGCACTGGACAAGCACCTAAAGTCGGTACCGAACCAGCCGGGCTGTGGCTCGTACATTGGATTGCGTGCGGCCAGCAGTAACAGCCTGGTTGATCAGGCTCTGATCCACCGTGAGGCCTGGTCACAGACCGGGCCGCGGGGGCGTTGACCCCCGGAACTCTCTCCAGGCCAGGTCATTTCACCACTAGACTGCTAGCACACTTGGCTCACACGCTGAGATACAGATACCTGCTGTCCTTAAGAGTATGGTTT